ATTTAAATTCATGACTTGAGCATTCTATAATATATGTAATAATGTCATTATTATACACACAAAATTCAAGTGATGTATTTAAACTTAAACTTGAATACAACTGAAAAGTAAAATATGGATTGGCAAATTCATAGGATAGTAAAAACATTAATGCCACCTTCACAATTTGGTGTGTGTGTTTCTTTTGTTAATTAGTGTGTCCCATTACATATATTAAATAGGTTTTATTAATAATGTCAACTAGATAAAATTAGTTTATTTGTTAAGTTTTATTAAATGATTAGCTAACAATCCTCTCTCTATATATTAATTTCAGAATGCGCTGAGCTTACGTAACAAACTCTCATGCTTCAAAATCCTATTTGACAAAAAAATCATGCTTTGAAGTTAGGCTTGGATATAAATTAATATTTTTATTTTTATTAATTGTATTTTAATATCATTTCCTATTATAACCATTGAATTGCAAATATATTTTAAAAATCGATAACTTTTGTATTTCTTATCGGTTTTACATATATAATATATCAAATTAATCATCTTTTGATAAGCTTCGATTTGACATCCATATTGTATATATGAAATAAATAAATTATATGTAAAAAAATTCAACACGAGTTGACATTTTAATTTAATGTACAGATGTTTAATTATTAGGATTAAAAAAAATAATTTAACAATTCAATTAAAATCTAAAGTAATATTTTATATAAAATTAAATTATTTTAAATTTAAAAAAAAATTAATATTTTTTATAAATGCTTTTTAATTCAACACCCGTGTAATACACGTGTATTGTACTAGTTATATATATAGATATAGATTATTAGTAGAAACAAAAACCATTAGGACTACAAAATTGAAATCAATGAACCCAGTAACCTTTAATTGAAATCTTACGGTAAAACCCGGTAAGGGAAGCAGTATCGACTTTTCCAACATTAGCTCGTTCGGACTCACAACTCCCAGACCGAATAATCAAATATGAGCGCATTTTTTTCTTATAAAAGCTAGATTACAAAATTAAGAAAATCATTAAGGAAAAGGGGAAAAGAAATGCAGCCTAGCCTACACGATCACGGGGCCAATTGCAAAATTTGATCACTGAGGTATCAGTCAAGATGGATGAAGATAAACTTTTGCATTCTCCTCCATTGATCATATGACCTATAACTCGGTCTTCTGGGCTTGTTCAACGTTAGACGAAAAAATCCAACTCCCTATTTTTGAAAAAAACTTGCTAATTACGGATACTTGACCCGACTGTGCAGTTTCCAAACTACAAAGAGACTCGTAATCGTGCTTCAAATGAGCAGCAGCAATTTTTTCCTGCGAGTTAAATATTGAATTATTGTTGAAGCCAATCTGGCGATAAATTTTCGAAAATAAAGTACCAAGTAAATAGGATGGAAACAAACATACCTTGAACACCTTGAAAGGGCAAAAGTCAGAATTTCCACAACCCTATGAACAGAAGAGAGCCATATCATCTAAAAGGTTACAACAAATAATTGCAGAAGCTTAATTTGCACTGGAAAGGCTGTAAAAACTAGTGGCATTAGGAGATGTTTGACCAATTTTATTTTAAGAAAAATTGTTTACAGGACTTCATATCTTATAATTGTAAGAAGATCTTACTCGGAAAATGATTGGGATCCTTTTGTTAAAACAAATTAGTAAGCTAATAACTTCTTAATCTAGAATATTGCAATTACGTTTTTTGGAAATTAATGACAGTTCTAAACAGTTTATTGTTTATTAGCTCAGCCGAACACCCTGTACAACGTGTGAACACAACATTCACAATCACCGAAAATCCCATAGTAGAAGGGCCAACCATCTTTGAGTTTAAGACAAAGTTGAAGACAATAGGTATAAAATAAAAGAAAAAAGGGCTTAGAAAATTATCTAACAGAACAGTTTATAACTTATATGCCTATTCATAATTGCACCAGGTTGTAAATCTCGTAACATAGGAAAACACGAGTATAACTAGCTTACCGCCATTGGAATAGGATGTTCATTGTGCAGTACTTGCACAAAGTACTCGCTCGTGTTGTTTGTTGGGCAGCTGTACAGAACCAACATGTTATTTCCGGCAAATGGTGCCACTGTGCTGCCACGCCAGATTCTCTTTTGGGGTGGTTTGACAGGTAGGTTCAGAGGTTTTTCACTTAGTATTTGTTCAAAATCTGAAATCCCACAAAAAAACAATTCAAAAATTTAGCCCCAAAGGCTGGAGGTCAAGGAAATATATNATATATATATATATATATATATATATATATATATAAAGTTAGAGGGAACACAATGAAGATATTAAACAATTAGCTAGCCTACCAGTTCCATCAAGAAATAGCCCGATCAAACAGGAAAATGGAAGTAGTGTTTCTGCATGGGCAAACCTAAGTCTGGCCAATTCATAGCTCCCATGAACACGTCCATCTAATAAATGAGAAGAAGGTAAAGCAGAGCGCGGAAAAGAATACATGGATAAAAATTAACGCAAACACTTAACTAAAATAAAGATTTCCAATCACAGAGGCAAGAAATTAATCCTAAAACGTCAACTATTATCCATCAGAGAGAGGGATGAGGCAGGATAGATCCACTTTTTGTTCATCGGAATTTGGGAGCACCAGGATATCAAATAGCTAATCCAAACAATTTAAATATCATTCTCTTTATAAGTATAACCACGTGCAGAAAAAGGATACCACTAGCATGAGATTGTTACCGACTACTTAGCCTTCCACAAATCAGCCAAACATTATCTTTTTGTTATAGTCATAAGTGGCAAAATAAGCATAGATACAAACTAACTAGTTTACCAGTTTCTCATTACCACTGCGTGCTCTCACAAATCATCTCACTTTGATGTAAACACATATTCTACAGCTCAGCAACAGTTTATTTGCTGTGTCCTTCATTATCTCAACCTTGAAGCTAAAACAACCTCCAGGATATTACAAACCCTCCATAAATGAACAAGGGTAATAATGTATAGGAGGAAATATACCTTCAGTATCCTTAATAGCTTGCTCCATTGAATTGATTACATCTTCAAGCAAAGGAACTCCCATACGGTAATTCAACGAATTACCATAGCCTTTCAGTACAAAGACCTCCAAGTCATCTGTCCACTCCAGCAAACCAACCTACAAAGGACATATTTCCCAGTTGAAGTTGATGGCATAGAGCAGAACAGAAGGGGCTTACCTAACCTTTAACATATTCTCTTACATGCTACCATAGAAAGGCTTTCAGAGAAAGTACACTCAACAACAACAACAACAACAACAACATACCCAGTATATTCCCAACAGGTTGGGGTCTGGGGGGTCAGTTGTACGCAGACCTTACCCTTGTAATTATACAAGGAGGCTGTTTCCGTAGCGACCCAAGGTGCATTGCACCGTTTGATATATTTTTTTTTTCTAGAAACTTCACTAATAGAAGAAGCACTAGAATTTAAATAGAGAAAGTACACTCATACATGAAATATTTTAAATACTCCAAATTATCAATCAAGCCATTTACTCAACATTGGAAGGCGGAAAAGAAAGTGCTGGTACCTCATCTGGAGTGAACAGAGCACAAGCTTGATCAGTTGTATTCAATAGACAAGCTTCCTACAAGTCACATAAATTCAATATTCATGCACCCTGAATGCGTTACATATACACGGAAAACAAGGACAAAATTACCTGTTTGCACAGAAACCACAGGGATGAAACATCTTTTCGAGTGAAATTCAGACCCCAACGCGTAACTAATGCTTGAGTTATTTCATCTAGCACAGGTTCCTTGAGCTTATCCACAGATGGTGCTTGACTTTTCCTGNAGCACAGGTTCTTTGAACTTACCCACAGATGGTGCTTGACTTTTCCTGAACGCCTTTATTCAGAAAAAAGAATTCCATAAAATGGAAATAGTTCTTTAACAAGGAATTCTGGCTTTCCCAGAATCTTAACTAGCAGAGAAACAAAATTATTCGTCATGAACCTGGGGCGAAAGTGAAGGTTCATACAAAACAAAATTAAGTTTTAACGTAAAAGTTACACAGATCTGATTGGATAAGACCAGCGTCTACTCTATTGATCTAAACAATTTAAGTAGTGCCATATTGATCGCAGCAATTGAACACCGTAATTTCTATACATCTAAGATCAATCTGCTGGACAAGCCCAAAACAACTCGCGGAAGCAAGTATGCTGATGTCCTTAATTAAGGAAATGGAAGGTGGACCAAGTGCCAGACACAGGTACAAGTACCAGTAATATAAGCAGGCACGTGACAGATGCGTACACAAATATGGCATTCCCACAAACTCTTTAGAAGTGAGGTGGATCAATTGCACATACACATACATGTACCAGTACTATAAGTAGGCACGTAATAGAGGCATACACCAATAATGCGTTCCCACAAACTCTTCAGAAGTGATTTTACCTTGTAGTTTTGACAGCAATCGTGGAATCTCAACATTATGTCACTTGCACGGCTTTCACTGGTAACTGCAAAAGCTCGATTACGTCCCGGACCAAGATTTCCACGACCGCTGAAGAGGCCCAAGCCAAAAGCTACAGCACTAGCCGAGGCTCGTGAAATCTAATAAATCCATAACAAACAAAAGTTCTAGCAAAGGTAAGCTACCGATCAAAATACTCAAGCTATGGATAGAATTAGAAAGTATCTAACCAGTACCAAAAATAACAATACATGGACACATTATTAACGTGAACTAGCAGCTTGCGAATCACAACATGCAATTTAAGGAAACTGTGATCGAGTGCATAAAATTTAAGAGCTCTGAAAAATGTTTCAAGTGACTTTCCACGAAAACGGGACATGACATAAATAGATGGGAAAAGCCTCCTCGTATGAAAAATGAATACAACTAATAAATGGCAAACCTGAGTGGCTTTAATTGGATAGATATCAGGATGGTAATCCTCATTAAACAATTCTGGAAACCTTTCTCTGGTCCTGATACCAAGTTCATACAGTTCATTTTCTCCTTCACTTATCAACTCTCCACCTTTATGCTTTCCTGTCCACGGAGATTTCCATCCACGTAGCCATGCAGGAACCACACTTACACTCTGCTCCTTCATATTTTCTAAAAGGACTTCCAGGCGAGTGGACAAGGAATCAAGTTCTTTCATCTTTTTCTTGGTAGGAGCTCGAGTTCCATGCCTTGCCTGCCAACTGAATCATCAGACCAAATAATTGTGGCACAGTGCAGACATATGGCAAAACAACATGGAGAGTGCAAAAAATTTCATTAATTAATGATGGATCTAAAGTCTCTTAAACAAAGATTTACAACCTACAAATTATAAATTCCATCAACAGAGCAAGTCAGATAATGGGAAAAATGACGTGTGACCTTAGATTGGTCAAGCCAATGAGCATATATGATCAGATATCCACAAATCAACTAGAAACTATATTGTTCCCATGCAGTTTCAATACACATAAACTACTAAAGCACTTCAAATCGAACCACAACTAATCTACCACCAATTCAGTGCTATCAGAATCTCCACAAAGATAACTTTAAAACCACCACAGGTGAAAACACTTCTTCATATATACCATATAACCAAGGCATGATCAGAGAACAAATAAGCCACTACTAATTACTCAAATCAAACAAATTGTGTAAGAATTACCACAAGATTTAAGTGGACAGGCCTACACTGATCAGGAATTGTTGAAGGAATATATGAATTTTCAGAAATATCCTTAGCGACTTGATATCTGCATAGAAGACGAAGATACACATACAAATCAACTTAGAAAAAATTACTCGATCCAAAAAATTTGAAAAAACAAAATCGCCGCAATTACTTTATGCTTCTAATTAAACACGTCATGGAATACACTGCAAATTTTGATTAAATTCCAGTAAATTAACATCCTACAAATTGAAGAGCAAGAAGAAGTGAGAGAGAAACCTAGTAACGGTTGATAGATGGCGGCGGACGTCGAAATTTTCTCCGGAAACGGAAAGAGGAACTGCTGTGGCGATAAACAAGAGCATGAACAATACTATCTGTGTAGCAGCTTCCATGGCTTCTCGAAAGAGTATAGGGGGTTTTCTCTCACTTTTTATAGACTGGAAATTTGTAGATTTTGAAAAGAAAATGAGAACGTTGTCCCGAAAAAGTTTCAGCTGGTTACACGTGGCGAAACACTAATGGGTGAGTGATGGTGAGATGTTATTTTTGTTGTAATTTTATTTATTGTTTGTGTGACATGGTGGAAACTGAAATGTATTCTTGCAGTTTAAGTTATTCGCGTGATTATGAAACCAGAAGCTTTCAAAAATTTGTTTGGGCGATAAGAGGATCCAGGGACGGATCCAGAAATTAAGAGTAGATTGGGCTAGGATTTTAAGTACTCATTTTCACAATAATCACATAATGTTTTTTCTTCAAATATTCATTGAAGTTGTGCTCGACGAGATTTTACAGAATAATTAGTAAACTCCCGTCCGACGAGCTTTTTAGCAGAAGGTTGTTGCTCCATGTGAAATTCTGAAAATTTCACAATACCGATATAAGCCAAATATGCCCCTTTATTTAAGCCAAACACGAGTTGAAATATATATATTTTTTACTAATCATTTCCACATTCTATACCCATGATCAACCATTAGAATGAACCTACAACAAATAAAAATTATATACCAAAGTGCAAAATAAGTAAAAAGAAATCCCCCCTAGCAAACTAGAATTAAGAAATCCCTTCATATTTTTTTTCCAGACTAAGCACTCAATCCAGCAAACTAGAATTAAGAAATCCCTTCAAATTTCTTTTTTCCTCTCCAAACCAAGTACTCAATCCTGGATCTCACACAATAATCAAAGCTCATAACACCATTTTTTCTCCATTTACAAACAAGCAAGTGTCACATGAATAAAACTAAGACAACTAATCCAACAAAATTACAGAACATGAAAAAAAAGACGAAAAATAAGGTACAATACAGAAAATATAAAAATAGCTAGCATCAATCACGAATTGTGCGACAATCGAAATGGCACAGTCTAGCCATCTAGGGCTTGTAAAGAGTAAAGAATTTTTTATTTTTAGGACCTTCTAAATCAGAGGGCCGACTGGTGGTTGGTCGACGAGTTGACGGTGCAATTCGGTTGCCGCCGGCCAGTGAACAGAAATTGGAGTAATTAGAAATACAGAGGGGAAGGGAAAAGTTTGCCGCACGCCAATGAACGGATTGTTCTTGCAAGTTGCCAGGTATGTATTTTTTTT